CAGTGGTCCCCCCGGCCCTGACTCCCATCACCTCCTGTCCCCCTGGTCCCCCCTTGTCCCTCCCTGACCCTCAGTCTCCCCTTGTCCCCCCACCTCCGCAGTGCAGGTCCTGGCTCCGGCGGGCTCCGGCCGCGGGCACCAGCGATGCCAAGGCCACGGTCAGGCAGAGCACGGCCGGGATCCGGCCCCTCATCCTCGCGGATCCGCTGCGGGCGACCTGCAGGCAGGTGCAGCCCGTGGCACCGGCGTCCCCACACCGTGTCCCCTCGGGACCCCCAGCCCCCGCAGAGCCCCGGGCACCGCAGGGCTTCATTCCCCTCCCTGAGCCCTCCAAACCCCGTCCTCTGCAGGGTCTTCCTGTGCCCCTGGACAGCAAATAGACCCCTTCCCTATAGGGCTGAGCCCAGAGCCTCTATAGAACCCCCCCTCCTATAGGGCTGAGCCCAGAACCCCCGTAGAACCCCCTCTCCTATAAGGCTGTGCCCAGAGCCCCTACAGAGGCCTCTCCCCTCTGGGCCAAGCCCAGACCCCCCTACAGAACCCGCTCCCCTATAGAACAGAGCCCAGAGCCCGCACAGGGCCGAGTTCCACGGAGCCCCCTCCCCTCCGGGATCACCCCCACAGCTCCCTACGGAGCCTCTTCGCCCCCGGGGCCGAGCCCAACGCCGGGTCGAGCCCCCCGTCCCGACCCCCGGGACCGCCCGAGCCCCCCGTACCCGCCGCTCTCCCGTCCCGCTCCGTCCCCCCGCCCCGATCGGCTGCCCCGGGGCTGCCCGCGGCGCAGCCCGTCCCGGCACTGCCCCCCGCCCGCCCCGCCGCGGGGCACGGCCGCTCGGGGCGGGCGGCGGCCGAGCCGGACTGTGCTCGGAGCCGGTCGGAGCGGGCGGGGCGGCGGCTCGGTTGGCGGCGGGGCCGTCCCGCGCGCAGGCAGCGCCGCGGGCAGCCCGGGCCGGCTCCGAGGCCCCACCGTTGCCAGGGCCCGGCCGCGTGGCGCTCGGCCCCGAGGGGGCGGGGCTCGCGCTGACCCCGCCCATGGGGCCGCCCCGGTCACGCCCCCAGCCCCCGTGCCGGCGGAGCCCCGTCCGTCCCGCCGTGACCCCGGGGCCGGGGCGAGCCCCGGCCGTCCTGCCCTACCCCCAGTCTGAGCCCCGGTGTGTCCTGCCGTGTCCCCGGTGCCAGCCCGGGCTCCTCTGAGTCCTGTCGCTGGTCCCGGTCGTTTCTGCCCTGCCCCGGTCCCGGTCCGGTTCCTCTGTGCCCTGTCCCAGCCCCAACCCCGGCACCACCGTGTCCTCGGTCCTGGTCTGAGCCCGAGTCCTTCCTGCCGCGCCCCGGTGCCAGCCCCGGCTCCCCCGCCCCGTGTGGCCGGTGCCGATCCCCGGAGCCAAGGAGGACTCATGGCGCGGGTGTCCGAGGTGCTTTATGAGGGCGCCCGGGCCGGCGGGCGAGGGAGGGGGGGGCGGGCAGGGATTCCCAGTACCGGCAGGGAAAGGGAGTCCCGGGGCTCCGGGCCCCGGGGGAGGCCCGGGGGGGTCGGGCAGGGTCGGGGACAGCCCCGACCCCGCTGCTGGTTCCAGTTCCACACGTATTTCTCCACCTGCCCCGAGGCTGCTCCTCGCAGGGGCTCCGGTCACAGGGCGAGCACGGAGGGGAACACGGCCCCATCTGCGGGGACAGAGGGGGTCAGGGGGCGCGGGGAGGGGGCGCAGGGAGGGGGAATGGGGGGGCCTTACGCTTGGGGCTGCTCTGGCTGTCGGGCTCGGGCACCTTCCAGTCCAGCTTTCGGCCCTTCTCGTAGAGCCCCTTGAGCACCTTCCGGAACTCCTCGGGCTCCGAGCCCTGCGGGCTCAGCTCCAGGTACTTGCGGTAGAGCCGCAGCGCCGTCTGCGCGTCCTCGATGCTGTCGTGGGTTTCTCCCTGGATCTTCAGGTCTGGGGGGAGACCCCTCGGTCAGGGAGAGGCCTGGTGGGGACCCCCGGGGGGGTTTATGCCCCTGCTCCCGCCCCTCCCGGATCCAGGAGTTTGGCCACTGACCCAGGAAGTACCAGGCGAGGAAGCGCAGGGAGATCATCCTCTTCCTGGGGATGTGGAACAGGTACACGGTGTCGATCACCTGGTCCTTGGGCACCTGGAGAGCAGAGAGGGTCCTGCTGCCAGGGCAGGGGGGCTGCCGCGGAGGGGAGGGTTTGCACAGCTCCTGCCCACACCCAGGGGAGGGAAGGGGCTCAGTGCTGTCACCATCAGGTTGATGACACGGAAGTCCTTCTGCAGCCCGTGGCCCACAAACTTGACGCCCACGTCGATGAGGAAACGCAGCTTCAGGTAAGTGGATTTGAGGGTGGTCAAGTGCTTGGAGGAGATCTTGGCATCCAGGTCTCCCGGCTTGATCCCGGAGTACTGGGTCAGGTAATCCACCACCTGCAGAGACCAGGGCCCGTGGAGGTGGGCTGGGAGGGCTGAGGGGCTCAACCCCCTCCCCAGTTCACCTGCCAGCAGCCTGGGCAGGGGGCTATCACTGCAGGTGCCCCTCCATGGAGAGGGACAACAGAGCACACAGGTGTCCAGGTGAGGTCACCACGGGGGACACAGGTGTCCATGGGGAGCACCCAGGTGTCCATGGGGAGCACCCAGGTGTCTGTCACCACGGAGAGCACAGGTGTCCAGCTGAGGTGACCTGTCACCAGTACAGTGGGTGCCTGTCCTCCCTGGGGGTCTGGGGAGCTGTGTGAGGCCAGGAGGGTGCCCCGTACCTGCTCCTGGGTGGAGATGTAGTCATCAATGAAGGGGACCCCTTCGTTGGGGCCCTGCCCACGCACGCAGGTGATCCGGGCCACCGACATCTGGCTGGGCTTGATGGTGGATTTGGTGCCATCGCTGCGCAGCTCGGCCTCCTCCTGAGACAGGGGACAGGGGAGGTGGTGACCCACCGTCCCCAACCCCAGAATCACAGAATATCTGGAATGGGAAGGGACCCACAAGGATCATCGAGCCCAACGGCTGGCCCTGCACAGGCCCATCCCCAACAGTCACCCCCTGTGCCCCAGAGGATCATCCAAACACTCCTGGAGCTCTGGCAGCCTTGGGGCTGTGCCCGCCGCTCTGGGGAGCCTGGTCAGTGCCCAACCACCCTCTGGGGGAAGAACCTTTTCCTGATACCCAACCTAAACCTCCCCTGACACAACTTCAGGCCGTTCCCATGGGTCCTGTCACTGGTGACCACAGAGAAGAGATCAGTGCCTGCCCTTCTGCAGCCCCTCACAGGGAAGCTGCAGACCCTGATGAGCCTCCCCTCGCTGAACAGACCAAGCACCCCCTCAGCCGCTCCTCCTACAGCCCCTGAGGGGCTGCCCTTGTGCCCCAGCCCCCCCCAGCCCCCGCCCCAGGGACCCCCGACCTCGTTCAGCGTGACGAACTCCGCGTCCAGCCCCACCAGGTCTCCCGCCTGGGGCATCTCGCTCAGCATGAGGGGGATGAAGGTGGCGTGGCACTTGCGCTGCTTGCGAGCCAGCGAGGCCTCTGCCAGCAGCACGCTGGCCTCGATGGGGTTCTTGACTGCAGGGAAAGGGGAAGGAGCTCGGTGGGGAGCCGGCGGCGCCGGCCCCGCAGCCACCCCCACCGCAGCCACTCACTGACGAGGTTGTACTTGGCGTTGAGGTTCCTCCGGGCGTAGTAGAGGATGGCCGGCACCTTCCAGCTCATGTCGAACTGCACGGCCTCGCACTGCAGGGGAGGGGACAGTGCGGGGCAGCCCCGGGGCCTCCACGGGGTCCCCAAAGATGTGGTGTCACCTCAGAACTCACCTTGTCCACGGGCTCGATGAGGAAGTCGTTGAAGAGGTACCACTGCTGGTGTGTGACTCCCTGTGGGGAGAGGCACAGCACGGCCATAAGGGCCCCCCCAGCCAAGTGCAGTGACTCCTCTGCCCAGTTACCAGGGAAAGAGGGGTGTGACAATGCCATGTGGGAACCCCCGCCCTTCCTGGGACACCGTGGGGAAATCCCTGCTGCCCTGGGTGGTGACAGTGTACATGAAGTGTTCGGGCTGGACAGGCTCTGGGCTCTGCCCAGCTCCTGACCAAAACTCCAGGGAGATGCAAGAGATAAGAGACAGGGATGGAGCCTTGACACACTCTGGGAACTCCTGGCTTGGGCATCTCCACCAGACAACAGGACTGCCCAGACCAGCCCTGTCCTTGGGAAGGGAGATGACGTCCCTGCCCTTACCTGGAAGTACAAGGAAAGCTGGCACCGTGCCCGTGGCCAGGAGGAACCAGCCTGAGTGTGTGTGGGAAGAGGGTTTCTTCAGCCCTTCCCTCCCCGTGAGGGGCCCAAGCAGCTCTTTGCTGTTCAGGGCTGCCTGGCACGTTCAGCCAAACACTCAACACTTGACTAAGAGACCCCAGAATGGGGCCGATGCCCTGGGCAGCAGGACCCCTCGGGATGGCTCTGGGGAGCCGGCAGGTGACACAGTCGTGGGGGTCCCGCAGGGTCTCACCTCCTTCCGCTGGTGGTAGGTCTCTCCCACTTTGATGTGCCCCACCAGGCTGCCCCCCGTGCGGGAATCCAGGATGTGGACGACGGTGGCCATGAGATCGTAGATGTACACGGACTCGGGGTCATCTGTCGGGCTCAGCTGCGGGAGGAACCGGCCCGGGGAAGTGACTGAGTCCCCTCCAACCCAAACCCCAGCACTTGGATGCGCTGTCACCACCAGCCCCGAGGTTTTCTGGCTCCCCCGAGGTGTCTCCAAGAGATCCTCGTCCTCTCTCGGCCACACGGGCTCGGCAGAAAGCGGTTCTGAGGCAGCTCTGCTGCCACAGCCCCGTGAGAACACGACCACGGAGCCCCACAAGGAGCTTGTCAGCCTTTACCTCATCGGTCTCGCTCCAGTTGCTCACGTCAAGCTCTTTGCTCTTGGTCAGCCTCATCTTGATGGCGTGAGGGATCCAGATGTTCTTCAGTTCCTCCACGGAAGCGTACGAGTGCCCCATGTCGGGGTTCCCCAGATCCTTCCTGCACAGAGAATCATGGAAAGCTGAGGCAGAGGGAGACATAAGATGTCATCCCGGCCAACTTCTTCAGGGCAGGATCCCCACCCACCACTCCCCAGCTTATTCCTAAACCTCCTGGGGGAGCTGCCTGGAGCTGGACCGTGGCAGAGGTGCTCAGCCAATGTCAGCCACCAAAGGGCAACATGGGTTTGGGGCTTTTGTCATTTAGAAAAGGGGAACGAGGACGGGGGGCTCAAAAAGGGATCACCAGGTGGGTCACAAAGGTGTCTGAAGGGGATGTGGTGCAGCCTCAGAGCAGAACAGAGACTGTTCCAGTTCAGAGCCCCCAAGGAGCTACAGACAGGCAGGTTATCGAATTATCATTATTAAATGAGAAATGGCCCAGAGAACCACCCAGGAGGTGTCACTGCTCAGAGCCACCACCCCAGGAATAGAATCACAGAATCTCTGAGGTTGGAAAAGACCTCCAAGACGATCGGGTCCAACCTGTGCCTGATCCCCACCTCGTGACCCAGCCCAGAGCACTGAGTGCCACGTCCAGTCCTCCCTTGGACACCTCCAGGGATGGGGACTCCACTGCCTCCCTGGGCAGCCCCTTTCAGTGCCTGATGACCCTTTCCATGCAGAAATTCCTCCTGAACAGTCACCTACCACTCTCCAAGAGAGATCTCCTTTCCCTTGGTGATGTCAAAGCCTCCCCTCTTCATCATGGCTTTCTGAAAGGAATACTGGCAACGAAACACAGGCAAGTGTCAGCAGGTGGTGACAGGCCAGCCCTGGGAACACGTGGGTGACAGCCAGGCCAGGAGCAGGGAAAAGACAGGGATGTTAAAGTCGGTGACAGGGAAAGTGACAGTGAGGGAAACCCAACGTCCCACGTGCTCCAGGGAGCTGGCAGGTCCCGGGGGACTGGGGGAATGGCAGTGACTCCTGCAGTCACACCAGCTCTGTCACGACAGGAGATCTCGTCTTTTCCGACTCCAAACGCACGGATCATGCTACAGGCATGACCAAACACCGCCACATCCTCTGGGAACACAGCTCAGGTGGAGGGAGAGAGCCAGAGACAGCGAGACCAGAGTGAAAACCTCCGCAGGGCCGGGCACCGCAACCCCCGTGAGCCGGGAGAACAAGGCCCCAAGTGTCTCCCCCACCTCAGCCTGTGTCTTCCAGAAATCTGCCTCCTTGGAGCTGTTCACCTCACAGTTAATGACCAGGACGTCCGGCAGGCAGCGGATGTTCCGGGTCTGCACCTGTGGAGGGAGCAGGAGATGGAAGTGGGGCAGCACTGGGAGCCTGGAGAGGCTCAGGTTGGGTTTGGAACACTCAGCCCTTCCCCGCAGCGCTGCCTCCCCTCCCTGGCTGCATTCCTGGTAGCTGGGGGTACTCCCAGGACAACTGAGGCAGGGAGCAGCCTGCTCCATCAGCTCCCAGGGGGTTTCTCTCTGCCCCCTACCCCGGGAGGATTCAGTCCTGTGAGATGAATTCACACAGCCCAGGAAATACCCCACGGCACATCGGCTGCCGGCCGGGCCAGGAACCGAATCTCTGGCATCCACTCAGGAGGTTCCCCAGTGACTAACGGAGAAACTGCCCCCCTCATGCCCATCTCCTGCAGCCCCTCATGCCCGTGCCCCCTCCTGGGCTCACCGTGGGCTGGTACTTCTCGCAGTTCTCACACCAGGCCTGTGTGTTCTGCTCCAAGCAGATGCTTCGCTTTAAAATTTGGGCAAACTCATAATCCTTGGCTGGTTTTTCTGAAGGGAGAAAGGATAATAACGTCACCTTCCAACACACAAAACCTTCGCCGACTTAGCTCAGCCAAACCTCTGGGGTTTTCCTCACAACCACCAGCCAGAAGGTCAACCCCCAAATCTGTCTTTCTGTAGCCAAAAGCTCGGCTGGTTGGAAACCCAGCCCTAGACCTGGGGCTGCCACAGCCTGGCAGCTCCTCACTGCAGGTGTGTTTCACCTGGAAAAGTCAGGGATAACAAAGCCCACCCTGTCCCCAGGGCCTGGCCCCGCTGTTACCGGTGCTCTCGGGGTAGGAGAGGGTGAAGAGCAGCGTGGAGGACACTCGGACCGTCTCCTTCCCGCAGCGGCACATGCTGCAGTTCTCCATCTCACAGCTGAAGAGCTGCCCGATGACAGAGTCCCCTGAGGACCCAAAGCTGCTGGAAAAACAGAGCACTGGGGTCAGCAGGATCCCAGAGATCCCTATGGGGGCCCGCACCTCGAGCTGCACAGGGCCAGCTCCCAAATTCCAGCAGCTCTTGGGGAACTGGCCATTGGGTTTCCAGAGCTAGTGTCCTCTGAGCAGTCCCAGCCCCTCCAAGCCCCTCTGGAAGCTCAAGCTGGTGTCCTCTGTGAAGCCTCAACCCTCCAACCAGGTTTGGCTTAGGACAAAGGCTCAGCACGGGATTCACACGCTGCCATAGCGTAGCCTGCAGCTTTGTGTATTCCCATGGACCACTTGGGGCATTCCCATGGACCCCTCAGGGCAGGCATGAGTGGCAAGAAACCTTCCCAAGGGATGGGTGTGGTCTCTGGGAGCCAGCCCTGCTCCGTCACTCCCCGTCCTGTCCCCGTGCCAGGGCCTCACCTGGTGCCAGCCCCCCGGTACGCCTGCGGCCCCTCCTGCTCCTGGGTTTCCTGGTGCAGCTGAGTGAGGATGAAACGGTTCCAGCTCTGAATCAGCCGCCCCAGGTTCACCTTCCCCGTGGCTTCATCCGAGTCAGCCAGGATGAGCCCCAGCGCTGAAGCCTCCGGGATCGTGCGGAAAGCCCGCAGGAAGTTGCTTCCCTGGGGATGGGGCAAGAGTGTCAAGTGACAGGAGTTTCCACAGTGCCTGACACCGGCACCACCCGGCTCCTGTTCCCCTGCAATCCCTGTGACCCTCCCAGGCAGCCCAGCCCACGACAGACCTGGCAGGGATCTCCTCGGGATAGGTCCAGCATATGGAAGAGCAAGCCCAGCTCACAGCCCAGGCAGAATTCCTTCTGGCACAGGTGGTTCTGGACCAGGCAGCGGACGGGCTCCAGGAAATACAGCACCTGGCAGAGACCGAGCAGTCAGGGGGGTCCCAGGGCCGTGGTGGTCCGGGCAGGGCTGGGGAAGCTCCCACCTGGATCATACAGTTGCAGTAGGCATTGGGAATGTGGGGCTCCAGCCCTGCAAACAGGGTCTTGTTGTAATGCTTGAAGTCAAAGTCCTCCAGCCCCAGCTTGGAGTATTTGATGGTGACCTGAGTGGAGATGTGACGTGTTAAACAAGCACCTTCCCACGCCGTGGGACCCCCATGGGACAGCTGCTGCACCCAGGGGTGTCCTTGGCCATGGCCAGCCCAGCCTTGGGACCCCCAGCCAGCCCCAGAGCAGCCCCCCGAGGCCACCACCTTCCTGTACTTCTTGGCCACCCTGTAGAGATGTGGCTCCTCCTCCCGCCCGATCGGGGACTCGGGGACTTGGCTGAAGTTGTCAAACTCGTTGTCCGTCTCCTTTAACCGATAAGGAATCTGAGGAGGGGAGAGAAGGGATGAGCAGCTGAACCCTGAGGTGGAGAGAAGCCCCACGTACTGACACAAGCAACTCCTGGGCTTTCCTGCCTCCCTGAATGAGCAAAGGGATACACCAGAACGGAGTGGGGCCCTCCCTGGACCTGCACGAGGCCTCCACACCTTCCTTCTCACAGGGATTTGTCACTGTGGGAAACTACAGAGGCACCGTGGGCAGTGTTTTCCCAAGGGTGAGGGACATGCCATGAACCTCCCAACTGGACAGCTCAAGCCTTCCCTGCCACAGAGCCAGGGAGGGATGGAACTGGGAAAACTGCCAGGCTGGCTCTGCTCAAGAGAAGCTGACATCTCCAAACTATACACCTGCAACATCCCACGGGAATTCCGCCTCTCATCCCTGTCCCTGAAACCTCGGAGATCGCTCAGCACGCAGCAAGCTCCGCCCTCCTCCAACCTGCAGAGCTCCAGCGCTGGAAACACCACCCCACACCCTCAAAACCCCCTGCTGAGAGCGGGTACCTGGTTGCGGAGCTTGGTCCTGGGGTTTGGGGCGTAGCCGATGAATCCCACTTTCTTCATGGTTCGCAGAATCTCGGGATCTACTGGGGGGGCTCGCCTGCAAACAGTACCCCCTGAGTCAGAGCAGCATCTCTTACCCACCCAGAGGCCTCCTGGGTGTGCTCAGGGACCCACCCTAAGGGTGGTCCCGAGTGCTCCCCCTCCTCAGTCCTTCCCCAGGTTCATTTTCCAACCCAACAAACCCCCTGGGTTATGCCAGGGCAGGGCGGCAGCGCTGAGCACAGGCGGGTCAGGGACAGGCACTGCCCCTCGGCCATTCCTGTCCACTGCCAGGAACTCATCTGGCACTTCCCAGGGCAGGTGAGGAGGAAGGAGAGGTTGTCTTTCCCGGGAGGGGCTGGGAATTACCGCGGTGCCGGGGCGGAGTTGGCGGCGGGCCAGTCGGAGAGCAGCGCGTCGCTGGTCAGCGGCACCGGGATGAGCGAGAGCGGCACCAGGTCCTGGTTCCAGTCCAGGTGTGGCAGCGTGTCCACCATGCAGGGCAGGGCGAAGTCGGTCTCCCGGGAGTAGGCGTTGAAGGTGACCTCCGGGGAGTCGGCCCAGAGGTGGACGCAGCCCTCGGAGTCGCCGAAGGCCAGCGCCTGTTTGCTGGCAGACACGTCGAAGGTCATGATGAGGGGCCCCACCGTGTTCACGTGGAAGATGTCGGCGGGGTTGGCCAGCCCGGTGGGCTCGCAGAACTGGCACTGGCCTGTGGGAGAGCAAGTGCAAGGACAACGTGGCACCGGGACACGGTGACCCAGGACACGGTGACCCACATGTCCCTTGCCACTGGACACGGGTCAGCAGCGCTTGGCCAGCCATCCTTAGATCATGGAATATCTGTGGGACATCCACGGAAGGGACCCACAAAGATCAAAATTCAGCTCCTGGCCCTGCACAGGAAAATCCCAAAAGTCCTCCCAGTCCCCAAATCCAAACATCTGAGAGCATTGTCCAAACACTCCCTGATCTCTAAAATTATGGAATATCCTGAGTTGGAAGGGACTCACAAGGATCCTCCAGCCCAACTCCTGGCCCTGCACAGGACAGCCCAACAATCCCACCATGTGCGGAGAGCATTGTCCAAATGCTCCTGGAGCTCTGGCAGCCTTGGGGCCGTGACCACTGCCCTGAGGAGCCTGTTCAGTGCCCAACCACCCTCTGGGGGAAGAACCTTTGACTGAGATCCAACCTAAACCTCCCTGACACAGCTCCAGCAGTTCCCTCAGCTCCCATCGCTGGTCACAGAGAGCAGAGATCAGAGCTGCCCCTCCTGAGGAAGTTGTACACAGCAACGAGGTCTCCCCTCAGTCTCCTCTGCTCCAGGCTGAATCCCCTGGGATTTGACCCTGAGCTTGGGGATGCCGGGACCACCACCCCAGTACCCCCAGGGCCACAGCTTCACACACCTGTCTGGGAGATGATGGCCAGGCGGGACGTGTAGGTGGGGATGAAGCGCAGGAAGAAGGGGTCGATGTGGACCTGCAGGGGGGTGGTCGCCCGCATCATGCGCAGGTCGTAGACCTTGAGGAAGCGGTCGCAGGCCAGCCCGTTCATCCGGCTGGAAAAGCCACAGGTCACCAGGAGGTTCCCGTGGACGTCGAAGTCGGACAAGCTCCCGGAGTAGGCGTCGAACTCGTGCTCCACCACGAACGTGCGCAGGTCGCGCAGGGACACCTGGGGGGACGGTGCTGGGTGCCAGGCGCCCGCTCCGGAGCCCCCGGAGCTCTGGGAGGAGATGGATCCCAACTCCAGGGCACCCCGGCAGGTCAGACAGGGCTGGCATTACCTTTCCCGAGGTGTGCCCGCAGAAGAAGAAACGGTTCGATTGCCTCATGATGGTGATGCCAGGGACCTCCACGGTGTACTGGGAGGGAAGCGGGATGAGCGGGGATGAACCAGGCAAAGCGAAGCTCCAGGGAGCAGCCCCCGGCCCAGACGTACCTTCTGCGTCTCCTGGACGGTGTTGAGGTCGATCTCGAGGACGTGGTTCTGCAGCCCGGCCACGAGCAGGGTGCTGCTGTCCGTCAGCAGGAGGCTGTGCATGTCCTCGGACTCATCCATGCTGTGGGAGAGGACGGGACACCCTCACGCTCCTGCCTGGCCCCAGGAGGCAGCAGGGAAGGGGTGGCAGGGAGGCAGAGGGGCCAGGACCACCCCACAGCACAGGGGCAGCAGGGGGAGGACTCACAGGTAGTCAAAAATGATGAGGCCGCCCCGCGACATGTACTTCAGGTTGGTTTTGGTGAGGAAGAGGACGCCGTTCTCCAGGCTCTGGATCTGGCGGATGTCATCGCTGCTGTTCACTTGGAAGGAAGAGTATCGCTCCAGCGTGGGGCCGAAGAAGGAGGTGGCATGGCCCTAAACACAGAGGGGCAGGGACATCACAACCCACCCCACGTCCCAGGGATGTGACACAGGTGAAGGTCGCTTTGTCCTGCGCCAGCTCCCAGGAGGAGGCAGCGACCGGCAGCCTCACAGCTCAGCTGGACTACGGGGGGATGTCCTGGCCCCCCCTGGGTGCTCCAGACT